GCTCATCGTTCATTGCTGGACCTCAGTTTGAAACTGACAGACTCGCTAAGGCAGTTGGAGCCACGGTTTGACATGATAATTCTTACAAATTTTGATTGTGTCAATATAAATCACCTTTATTCAGTACATCGAGGAAGTCAAACTATATGAGATCCCTTGCGACGCTGATCCCCCGACCCTCAACATCTACATTGGAAACATTAAATATCCCATTGAACCTGCGAATTACATTATTGACGTAAGTGCACAATCCAAAGCAAAGATGAGGCAACTTTTGACCAATAGGCTTTTTTGCAGGCTGGTGACAATACGTGTGTATTCACAGTATTTCCTGACGAATCTATGGGATTCGGCCCAGACTGGGTTCTCGGCGATCCTTTCATTCGGCAATACTGTAATATTCACGACATGAAGAAAAAGAGGATAGGATTTGCAAAGCCCCTCAAGTAAGATGTGGGCTGCTTATGGTCATCCGCAAACTTTACTATGTCTTTTATGACTTGCTGTCACTTAAACATTGTAACGACGTCAATATTTCACAGAAAATGATGTTTTTTTGCTCATAAAACACATGGTCATCACTCATCCGTAAACTACAAAACAAAGTCGCAAAACTCTAAAAAAGATTTGAATGCTTTCTTTTTTGCTTGACAATAAACGGCTTCACAGATGTTCCTCTCATCACGTTCATCACGTTTTCTTGCAAAAAACCCTGCCTCCGCTTCAGTTACTCAAACGTCATCGATAAGACCTGGGGTCCGGACCATTGTTGAAATTAAGTCATTTTGGTGTACTGAGAAGAATTACCCGAAATTATTGCAATCCAGTCCTAAAGTTTATCTTCAAAAATATCCATCTTAGCACCTGTGCACATTTGTCTTTATAAAAAACATGTCCTAACGTAAATGCAATGTAGAGTAGCATTAGTATCTTTTTTTCTTAAATTAATATCATTAAAAAAATTTTAAGCAGTTTTTGTTTATTGATACTAATTTTATGTACATCTTCCATATGTCCATGAATGGAAGGGGTTTCAACAGACTT